TCTAAAACATGCAAATCCCATAATAATGGCTCCTAGTGAAAAATGACCTGGAAGAACTCTCGAAGAATTCAAAGGAAGATTATAAATATGGCCAAACAACTCAAAGAATACAAAAAAAAAAAATAAAATAAAATAAGGAAGTCAATGCAAGAATGAAAATAGAGTTGAATTTCTGACAAAATCTAAACTATAGCAATACTGGGAAAGAAAAAAATCAATGAGCTGATTAAAAACCTCAATGGAGGGGCTGGAGAGATGACTCGATGGTTAATGTTATGGACTCTCCGACCCCTGGGAAAAGATCATAGACTCAGTCCAATTATAACTGAAGGATTTATTGATTAGCTGCTAGAAGAACAACAGCCTTAAAGCCAAATCTCAGGCATGTTGTGAAGGAGGGGTATGAGGAATAGTTTTTGAAGAAGAAAACCACAGGAAAACCTTCAATATCTAGGCAAGCAAGCAAAAACTTGTCTGTTCTGCCAAGTTAAGTGGTTAAGGAAACTCAAAACCATCTGTGGGTATCTGTTTAAGCAAGTTACAGAAGCAAAAAGAAAGGCGTTCTTTTCTTACCACTTGGTCGTTCCCGGTTTTCCTTTTTTGGGATGGGGGTCACTGAGTCAGGGTTACTGAGAACTTATCTTCCAGGGACTGGAGTCAGAGACAAATGACTAGTGGGTACCAAGATGGATGCCTAGCATTAAATGGAGTTTCTTTAGCCATCGCAGTTAAGAGCATTGACTATTCTTCCAGAGGACCCAGGTTCAATTCCCAGCACCCACACGGTGGCTCACAACTATCTGTAACTCCAGTTCCAGGGTAACCAGTGCCTTTATTCTGGCCTCCATGGGTTCCAGGAGTGCAAGTGGTTCACAAACATACATGCAGGCAAGACATCCGTACACATAAAATGTATTAAGAAGAAAAGAAAAAAGTTCAATGTAAAACCTAACCAATAAAATGGATCAAGACAAAAAAAGAGGGTCAGAAGCTGAAGAAAAACAGAAATTAGATCATTCAGTACAGATTGATGAGAATTTTTTTTAGTTTTCTTAGATTTATTTATTTTATTTTCTGTATATGAATGCTTTGCCTGCATGTGTGGGTGTGCACCAGGTGAATGTCTGGTGCCCTCAGAAGACAGAAGAGGGTGTTAGATTCTCTGGAACTAGAATTTACAGATGGTTGTGAGCTACCATGTGGGTCCTGGGAATATAACCTGGGTCCTTTGCAATAGCAGCCAGTGCTCTAAATCACTGAGCCATCTCTCCAGCCCAATGAGACAATATTTAAAAATATAAACAGAACATGAGAGAGTTTGGGGACACCATGAAAAGACCTAACCTATGAGTTATGAGCATAGAAGAATACCATGGCAAACACACAGAGAATATTTTCAATAAAACATAAAGAAAATTTCCCAAACCTGGAGAAATAGATACTCATGAAGATACAAGAGGCCCACAAAACACCAAATACACAAGCCCAAAAAAGAAACTCCTGATGACATCCTATACTTAAAACACTAAAAACACAAGAAATAATAAAAAATAGATATTATCAAAACCCACAAGGGATAAAAGTTAAGTCACTTACTTAAAAAGGCAGGTCCATTAGAATAACATCTGATTTTTTGACAGAAACATTTAAAACTCAAGAGGTCCAGAAATGTGTATTCCAAGTTCTAAAAGACCACAACTGTCAACCCTAAAAAGCTATCCATTAAAACTAAAGGAGATTCAGGTGTGGTGGTGCACACCTTCATTCTCAGCTCTTGGGAGGCAAAGGCAGGCAGATCTCTATGAGTTTGAGGCCAGCCTGGTCTACATAGTGAGTTCCAGGTCAGCCAGGACCACATACTGAGATCATGTCTCACAAAAACAAAATTAGTAATAGTAATAATAATAATAATAATAATAATAATATTAATGGAGAAATAAAATATTTCCAGGATACCAACATTAGGTATGATCACTAAGACAGTCTTACAGATAAAACTGGGAAAAATACTTCCATCTGAAGAAATGAATAGATACCCTTAAGAGGGCACAAGCAATAAATAAACAATGCCAGACTAGTTAGTCAAAGGTGATCTAAGACACTTCAAAATCAACAAAATTACTGGAATTAATACCTTTCTTTTAAAAATAACTCTTAATATTAATGGTCTCAACTCCCCCAGTAGAGATACAGACTAAGGGCTGGAAAAATGGCTCAGCGGTTAAGATCACTTGGTCATGCAGAAGACCCAGGTTCCATCCCCAGCACCTACAATGTGGCTCCCAACCACCCATAACTCCAGTTCCAGGGGATCTGATGCTGTCTTCCAGCCTCTTTGGGCACCAAGTATGCATTTGGTGCACAGACACACATGCAAGCAAAACATTCATATGAAATAAAATATTAAAATCTTTTTAAAAAAACTAAGAACACACACTTCTCTTAGCAGCCCCTTGTGATTGGATGCAATGGGTGACTGGGAGCTTGCTCACAGGTGTGGGGAGGGCACCTTGCTAAAGTGAGCAGCTGGAGCAAAGGGTCCCAGATGAGGTGGGGAGGGTCAGAAGGAAGCCTATGGCTCTCTGATATGGGGTGCTCAGTTCCTCAGAAATGAGTGGAGTTGGGGGCCAGCATTGAAAAAGTGGAATGATCCACATAGAAAACTCTGTTTAGCTTCTCTGGGAAAGGAGTAAATGATGGTAAGTAGTCCTTCATGGCCTCAGTGACTGGGACAGAACAGCAGCCAACATCTTGAGATAGAGCGTGCGTCCATCCTCGAAGTTGGGAATGACTGGCCACACTCTACCTTCTGGGCTCTGCTCAGTCTACTGGTGTCACAAGAGTGAACTCACACAGGCCACAGGCCAGTGATCTACAGGAGGGAGGGTAGCCATCAGGGAAACGAAAATTCAAACTGCTTGGAGTTTCCACCTCAACCTGGTCAGAATGACTATCATCAAAAAAAATAAATAAATAAAAAGACAATGTTGGTAATGATGGCGGGCGGGGGGGATGACCTTTATTTACTTCCTATGGCAATGTAAACTTGTGCCAGCAATATATAAATCAGTGTGGAGATACCTTAAAGGTTAAAAATAGAATTACCACTAATATTATCAATCAATTATAAACTGTGTATGACAGTATCCAGAGGAGCCAAGGACTTCTTTTTCCTTTACATGTGTTCTGACCCCACCGACCAACACCCTACTACTTCCCCATTCAAGGAGAAGGAACTGGGTTCAGAGGCAAAACATAGTTTACAGGATGAGGTAACATGAGCAAAAGCTTGGGACTGCATTTACCTCAGTTCTGTCTCATGGATGATGTACGGTCAAGGAGCCCAGTAAGACAGCCCAGGTGAAGACAGATGGGAAAAAAAGAAAGCCAATCCAAAACCTCGTCCATGTCCTCAGGAGGAAATGTGTGTGAGTGTCCCCATCCTCTGTGTTGATGGTTGCAGTGTCCTTCTGAGCCAGCTGTCTGTCCTGTTAGCATTAACACACTGGATAATCCCTAGCTTAATCATGGCTACAATAGCAAGGAGTAAATGGGAAGTGGGTGTGATCTCATTTCAGGATCACACTCCCCCCCATGCTAATCTCAGCCAAACTCGGACCTCCCCAGGGCTAAAATGGAAGGCACCAGTGTGCCCAGATCCTCTGCTTCTGAAAAAACACTGAAATAGAAAAGGACCTAGTGAGAAGTGTCCATCCTGTAACACAGTGACCCCAACCGCAGAACTCCAGGCCAGAGATTAGGTTCAGATAGAGAGGCAGGTGCCAGGAATGATACCTATGCAGCCACCTAACAAGACTTCACAATGAAAGAACATCCTGAGAGAAGCCCAGCTTATGAATCTAGGCTGTCCTATTCATTATTCATTACCCTTCTGTCTAATAATGATGGCCCCCTGTAGCACTTACCGAGTCCAAACACCAGATTAACCACAGGGGCCGTGGAGGTTCATCGTGCCAGATCTCCACACACACACAGCACCGAGAATGGGTGGCACAGTCTGCACAGGGGACACACCCATGGGATGGAGCAGACTGGGGTCCAGAACCCCCATAAAGATGGTGACGTCCACTGCAAAACAAGAAGGAGTTTCTCTTTGCATGAGACCTGGCTCTGCCCTCTCAATTCTCCAATACATTTCTAGGGGTGACCAGAAGTTCCTCTCTTACACTTCCTCTTCTGACTTTCAGCCACAAAGACATGCTCACATGTGATGCTGCCCCCGGGTGTCTGTATATTTGATGTAGGAAACTTACGGAAGATGCGATAATGAGATGCAGCTGGTCAGCATGGAAGGCAAATGTGGAGTCCACCACACAGACTATTCTGGGTAGAGCGCAGGAAGACACCAAATCTGAGAACGTGGAGGATGAGAAGAGAGAACCAGGGAAGGTGCAGAGGACCAACACTTCTGTAGTACACAGATGCAATGCAGAGACATTCCTGTGGCCATCTAACTACACAGCCAAGTCCAAAGAGCTGACAATACTATACTGTATATTTAAATTTCCCTCAGAGAGCTCTTAAGTGTTCTTTCTATTTTGTGTGTGTGTGTTGAGCAGAGACTAGAAGGTATCTGGAACAACAGGCAGTTATGAGTGCCTGGAACTGAATTCAGGTTTTCTGAATGAGCAGCAAAGTGCTCTTCACATGAGATGTATATCAACGCTTCCTCTTTCATGTAATTTATGGTGAGGTGAACACAACCCACAAGTTTTCAGTTCAGTGACATCAAATACAGTCACTCTATGAATGAGAACTCCTGGGAAGAAGCTAGACTGTGCCTTAGTTAAGGTTTCCATTGCTACAATGAAACATCATAACCAAAAGCAAGTTGGGAAGGAAATGGTTTGCTTGGCTTACACTTCCACATTGTAGTCCATCACTAAAGGGAACAAGGAATTATGCTTTCTGGCTTGTGAGCTTGTGCTTATTCAGATTTATTATACATCCCAAGAGGTCCTGTCCAGGGAATGGTACCACCCATCGTGGGCTGAATCTTTCCACATCAATTAATCAAGACAATCTCTCACAGACATGCCTGTAGGCTGACCTGATCCGGGCAACCCTTCTATTAGAATTCGTTTCTTGGATAATGCTAAGCTGTGGTAAGCTGACAGATCTAAGACTGTCCCTATTATGGTCTGAATGTGATATGCCCTGCATAGGCTCGTACATTTGAATACTTGGTTCCCAACTGGTGTGCTTGTGTGAGAGGTTGTAGAACTCTTAAGATGCAGGTCCTAGCTGGCAGACAAGCTACTAGAGTAGGGCCTGAAGGTTTTGTCTTGACTCATGAACATAGTAATCTCTTCCCACCATGAAGCACTGATATCCCTTTGTATGCACCCCACATTGTACTTCTTTCTCTGTCCCTAGAGAATCTGGGTCATCCCTTCATCACCAGGGACACTGAGGTACATAAGATGATAGATGGGCATGTCCGAGATCCTACAAAGAACATCTCACTCCTCACCTTTCTTCTTGTAATGTCAGGGGCTCTCTAGGGTCTGACCATAGGAAAGGAAAGGATCTTAGACGCTGCAGCATTTGTAGGTGTTCCTGAGGGCCTCCACTCAGAGCCCGTGGTAAGGTTGGCCTGAAAGAGCCTGAGTCTGTAGTAAGATTCCAGACATCGGGTCAAGTTTGTGTTGGCCTCTGGGGACAGGAAAACCATTTCACACCCGATCTCGGACTGACATTGCAAGATGGTCTTCTTATGGGTGTCACAGAGAAGGTGATCAGAGCTGGAAGCTGTGGCTTTTCGTACACTCCTGGAGAAGGAGAAAGCCAAGGTAAGTGAAAAGGATGCAACCTCTCACTACACTTAGCCCCTACACACTCTCTGGAAAGGAGTTCTCAATACGGCCACCCTAAGACTGCCATTCCTCTGCTGTGACATCTACAATCTACCACATGCACACTCTGCTCCACCCACACTGCAATCCTTGTTCTTTGCTGAATACAGCAAGCATGTCTACCCTCCAGACTTTTGCATGCTCTGTTCCCACATCATGGTGTACTTCCCCCCCCCCAACACTCAGTGACTGCCTGTAGCGATATTTTGTTTGTTCTCTGCCAAATAAAGCTTGCTGAAAGATCAGAGAGACAAAGGAGCAAGCCACAGCTACCTCTTACCTCACCATCTCCTCAGCCTGAAGGGGGTCTGAGCTCCTGTCTCCTCCTGCCTTATATTCCTCTCTCCACCCAACCATATCACTTCCTGTTTCCACCTCCCCCAGTGCTGGGATTAAAGACATGTGTGCCTCCCAAGTACCAGGATCAAAGGCATGAGATCCCAAGTGCTGGGATTAAAGGTATGTGCCACCACTGCCTGGCTTCTATGGTTAACTAGTGGCTAGCTCCACACTCTGATCTCCAGGCAAGCTTTATTTGTTAAAACACAAACAAAATAACACCACAACTACCCTCTTGGTAGAGGGCTTTCCTTCCCATTGCATCAATAACGTTCCACCATCCCTCTCTACTTCATAACCTCACCCTGTTTTTCTTCAGTAACACTGACCACCATGTGACAACATATCCTCTATCCTATTTTTGGTTCAATTTGTTCTCTCCTTCCTCAGTAGAATAAGCATTCATTAAAATCTCTATGTTGAGAATGAGAAGATGGCTCAGTTCATATGCATATACATATATATAATATGCATATATGTGCAAACATATATATATACATACAATGAGAATTGATCACTCAGTCAAGACAAATCTTGCCAATATGATATGACATGAAGAGAGTAAGACACAGAGGACAATGACCCCCAAGATGACCAGCTTATGAAGTCAAGGGCACCCAAAACTCTGTGTTGAGAGCCAGGCCAATTCAAGGCTTCTCAGAAGCCCTGATGAAAGGACAGAAGAAATCTAGTTATGTGTCGTTGTCTAGGGATGGGCTTGAAAAGGCCAGTCTGGGTTGGGGATAGGCTTCAAAGGAATTAAGATTTTGGTTCCTGGGAACTTGGCTTTTCCCCCTGAAGAGAAGTCATCAGGCATGGAGTTGCCGGTCACAAGGCCACTGTGTGCTCAGGCTATAATGTTCTTGAGATATCCTGTGTTCCTTTTGTAAAACATTGCTTGGTTAGCCTACTGCTGACTCCGTCCAACTTCTCCCCTGAAATATAAGATGCTGTACTTCTTAATAAGCTTGCTTGGCATGAGATATAGCCTGCACAAGACCTTCTGATCCCAAACTTTCTTGTCTTCTCTACCTTCTATCCTCGTTATCTTCTGATCTCCTGGTCCTCACACTCAGGACCCTGTCACTGAAGAATGACCCACTGGTCTGAGTCAACTATGTGTAATAGAGTCCCTGCAGATGTTATGAAGTGACCTAAAGGGGAAAGCATGTGAGTGCTGAATATGGGTCACACTAAGGGTTTCCCCTTAATTTCCAAAGAGAAGCAAGTTCCTACACTGTTATGCTCATGGATTCTCATCCCAGTAATAAAGATGTGTGCAAGAAAAGCTCATTGTGAATGATGCTTTTCAAAGTCCTATTTGATTACTATTAAAAATATCAAACAAGACAGTGAGGACCAGCCCATTACCCTGTGCCTTTTACAATCCTGGTAGTGTCCTAGGACTTCACCGTGAGCAGTTAAACACTACCTCCCCCGCCCTCATGACAACCAACACGTCCCTAGATACGGGCATCTGACCCCTCTGCAGCAAATCATGCCCACCCCCACCCCAGCCCCAGGGCTGAAAAACTGCTAACACACTCTACCTAAGAGGAAGCGCCCAGCTGCAGACGTGACTGCCCGCCCAACGGCGGACTCCTGACAACTTCCCAGTGCTGTTATCTTCCACCGCACGAGCCACCCTCCTGCCCGATGGCAGGCGAAATTGATGACCAGCGACTTCCTGACCCACATAAACCCACTCCACAAAGCCCTCCCACTTCCTGTTTCCTCCCGAAGCCCAGCAGTGTGGTTGCTCAGGTTCTGTTAATACTCAGTCTTCTCTTGGCTTGCTGTTTCTGTAGTGTGGACCTGAAGATCCCCCATTTGTCCCCCTGGCCACAAACTTCTACCCATCCTTCAAAACCCACCTCACCTAGGGACCCAGTTCAGATGGCCCCAAGATGTGTGTTCTGTGAGGGTGTAAGCTCAGAGCCTGAGATCTCCCTCTCCCGCTCACTGGAGGCCCTGGAAGTCACTTCTGTGACCTCGGGAACTGACTGTTTTCTTTGTTCCTGTCATTCAGGAATATTGAATCCTAACTAGCCCTCTGGAGAATTCCCGTCTTGGAGCTAGCTGAATCATAGATGGAGCAACCATTATACTATTCATGCCCAAACCTACCAAACCAGAGTCCACATTCTCACACACCTCCACTCAAGTCGAAAAGGACCACAGCTTCCTCACCTGTAACAATCACTTCCAGGAGGTCACTGGAATCTGACCACTTGAACTATTGACAGAACCAAAGCATCTGTAGGTCCCCACATGAGCCTGGGAGACAAAGGACATATTGAATTCTTTCTGGCCTTCTTGGATAAAGTTTGGAAATAAGTGTGGTGATATTGTGTTCCCCAATATATTATGCACCCTAATAAACTTATCTGGGGTCAGAGAACAGAACAGCCACTAGATAGACATAGAGGGCAGAAAATGGTGGCACTCACACCTTTAATCCTATCACTTGGGAGGCAGAGATGTGTGAATCTCTGTGAGTTCAAGGCCACACTAGGAACAGAGCCAGGTATGGTGGCACACACCTTTAATCCCAGCACTTGAGATCTCATGTCTTTGCTTGGGAAAGACACATGCCTTTAATCCCAGAAAGTGAGCCTTTAATCCCAGAAAGTGATGGCAGGGAGCAGAAGGGTATATAAGGTGTGAAGACCAGAAACTAGAAGCTTTTTAAACTTTTAGGATTTTAGCAGCAGTTCAGCTGAGATCCATTCAGATGAGGACTCAAAGGCTTCCAGTTTGAGGAAAGAGGATCAGCTGAGGAGCTGATGAAGTAAGGTTAGCTGTGGCTTATTCTGTTTCTCTGATCTTTCAGCATTCACCTCAATATCTGGCTCCTGAGTTTTTCATTAATAAGACCCTCTA